AACCACACCCACCTGGTCTGATAACATTCCATTATTCCGTTCAAACCACACCCACCTGGTCTGACAAAATTCCTTTATTCCGTTCAAACCACACCCACCTGGTCTGATAACAATCCATTATTCCTTTCAAACCACACCCACCTGGTCTGACAACATTCCATTATTCCTTTCAAACCACACCCACCTGCTCTGACAACATTCCATTATTCCGTTCAAACCACACCCACCTGGTCTGACAAAATTCCTTTATTCCGTTCAAACCACACCCACCTGGTCTGACAACATTCCATTATTCCGTTCAAACCACGCCCACCTGGTCTGACAACATTCCATTATTATCTGATTGGTTGACACTCCACCTGATAAGCATTCATTCTACATTTCTCTATAATCAAACATAATTATTCTAATTAATATCCACATTACTTCAACTACATTTGTCATTAAAAACTAAGCAGGATCCACTTGGAGCTAACAAAAGAAGAACTTTGATTATTATTTTTCTCCACGTATATCTAACAACAGTATAATACAGTTATTTGGTCAGTGGTGGTTGGTTATGCTTTTATATCGCTCAAGTTATATCCGGTCTTTATATCGACATTAATTACATGCTAAGACTTATATAGCATTCTACTTTCAACCACATAATAAAAGCTTGTTATAATAACCACGAACTGGAGAGAAAGATGACTAGTTTTCGTCACTCCCCTGTTATTCAAATTAGAAACATCCCTTTCCTCTGCAGGTGGACAGTCCCGACTTTGGGTTTGGTGGTGGTGTCGCCCTCTATCGCATGTCTCTTTGTTAGGACCGATGCATGCAGCGTAAGCCATGGCGTGGGGGATGTAGGTCTGCTCGAACACACCCCTGAAAAGGTGAGACATGGGTCCGTGGGCGTATACCGGAACATCTTCCCCTCCGTGTGTGTCCCATCTTCGAGGGACCGCCGACTGTTGCACGTAATTTTTATGTTCTGGAAATAAAAATTACTAAAAATCAACAATAACAATAACAAATCGTTAAACAGAAATTACTAAAAATCAACAATAACAATAACAAATCGTTAAACAGAAATTACTAAAAATCAACAATAACAAATCGTTAAATAGAAATTACTAAAAATCAACAATAACAACAACAAATCGTTAAATAGAAATTACTAAAAATCAACAACAACAAATCGTTAAACAGAAATTACTAAAAATTAATAACAACAAAACGTTAAATAGAAATTACTAAAAATTAACAACAACAAAACGTTAAATAGAAATTACTAAAAATCAACAACAACAAATCGTTAAATAGAAATTACTAAAAATCAACAATAACAACAAATCGTTAAACAGAAATTACTAAAATTCTTATTGTTGATTTTTAGTAATTTCTGTTTAACGATTTGTTGTTGTTGATTTTTAGTAATTTCTATTTAACGATTTGTTGTTATTGTTGACTTTTAGTAATTTCTGTTTAACGATTTGTTGTTGTTGTTGATTTTTAGTAATTTCTATTTAACGATTTGTTGTTGTTATTGTTGATTTTTAGTAATTTCTGTTTAACGATTTGTTGTTGTTGTTGATTTTTAGTAATTTCTGTTTAACGATTTGTTGTTGTTAATTTTTAGTAATTTCTATTTAACGATTTGTTGTTGTTATTGTTGATTTTTAGTAATTTCTGTTTAACGATTTGTTATTGTTCAACAAGAAATCGTTAAATAGAAATTACTAAAAATCAACAATAACAACAAATCGTTAAATAGAAATTACTAAAAATTAACAACAACAACAACAAATCGTTAAATAGAAATTACTAAAAATCAACAACAACAACAAATCGTTAAATAGAAATTACTAAAAATCAACAATAACAACAAATCGTTAAATAGAAATTACTAAAAATCAACAACAACAAATCGTTAAACAGAAATTACTAAAAATCAACAATAACAACAAATCGTTAAATAGAAATTACTAAAAATCAACAATAACAACAACAAATCGTTAAACAGAAATTACTAAAAATCAACAATAACAACAACAAATTGTTAAGTTGAAGATGATAATATATTTCATTTTCAACTGGTATAGTACCATATAAATTTACCTCTAATTTAAAGCATGTTACGATCACTTTCTCTCCGAATTATGATTACAGTTAAATATTTGATTTCATCAAACAGAACTGAAACCCAAAAATATAAAACATATAAAAATAACAAAGTCAAACCACCATTTTTTTATTTAACTGTAATCATAAATCGTAAGTTATTTGTATTCCACTTTTGAATATAGAGGCAACTTTTATCGACTAATTGCTTTTCGTCCCTCTTAATAAACTTTATTTCGTAGTTTTTAAAATAATAATAAAAAAACAGTTGGAGTATTCAAAAAATTAAATTTTCAAACATTTGAAAAGTTTCTTAAGTTCGTTTTATTCAATGTTAGTGTTACTGTTAGACTTGAGTGTGGATGCCGTCTGTCCACCATATTCGAGGAAACGTCATTTTTAAGACTGCTATTTACACCGTTATTTGTCATTAGTTGAAGTTTTGGAAGGTTTTAATTTTGCTATTTCATCTTCACGTTGGATAACCTTAGACAGTCCATTGTCTCCTGTAAGATTTTAATCCTGATTTGTATGCTTTTAACCAAAAGAGAACTGATGACTGTAACACTCAAAACATAGTTTTTGTTATAATTCTCCATGATTTAATCGTAAATTAAACTGCATGCGCGTTTCTCCTCGCCGTTGCTAACAGAAACCAACGTTAGTTTTAAATGTAGGCTTATGGATATGAAAATCCATACGTCGTAATGCAATATTTTGTATCATACTGTTACGTCTCCGTTTATTAATTGATTTTCTGTAACTTCTTTCCGACGAAACTTTAGCGACACAAGTCCTTACTTAATAAAACTGGTTTATTCTTTCTGAATACAACTTTATGATACACTTATTTTCAACAGTCGCGCTAAACAAACGCTGTAACAACGAACGTCTACAATAATTCTGACTGCAGTTCAATTACTCACTATCTACACACACATTACCGCGTCACGTTGTCCCCTCTTATATATACCCGACTACCCTATATCTAGTAAATACTAGAGCATTCGCCAAAGTACAGGATAGTTCTAGAAACGTGACGTCACTGTAGTCATGTGACTCGCTGACGCAACAATACATTAAAATACGCAAACTTCTAATATAATAAATTATCAAGATTATAATACTTAAATATGTAAACAAGACGAAATGAATCAAATGATCAAAATTAAACCAAACATTGCGAAGCCTGACTTACAAGTTATTACTTAATGAAACTGGGTATTTCATATTGAAAGTATGATCCGCAAGTCTTTACTTAATGATACTACATCTGTATATTTGTCCTAAACTAGGAACTGATGACCACGTATCTGATGTAGACAGTTTACCATACACTACCCTTCTATATTCAAACGGACCTGGGTATAGTAGAAACTTCCCGTTAGGAAGACAGAATCTTACAGGAGTCGACACTGGTAAGACCTTAAACTTATATAGTATAATTAGGCTTACTTTAGGTGTCAGATCATAGTGGAATTTCTTACAGTATGATTACAGATTAGGCTTACTCTAGGTGTCAAATCATAGTGGAATTTCTTACAGTATGATTACAGATTAGGCTTACTCTAGGTGTCAGATCATAGTGGAATTTCTTATAGTATGATTACAGATTAGGCTTACTTTAGGTGTCAGATCATAGTGGAATTTCTTATAGTACGGCTAGGCTTACCTTATGTGTCAAGTTCATAATGGAATTTCTTATAGTACGGCTAGGCTTACCTTATGTGTCAAGTTCATAATGGAATTTCTTATAGTACGATTAGGCTTACCTTAGGTGTCAGTTCATAATGGAATTTCTTATAGTACTATTAGGCTTACCTTAGGTGTCAGACCATAGTGTAATTTCAAGTTAATGTTTAAAAAGAACCCTCAATAATTGTTAGACGAATGTTCTTTATAACAGACAATAAAAAAAGAAAATTCTACAAAATTCTTTACTGATAAACAAAATTATTACCATAATTTCCATCAACCTTTATAAAAACAATTTTGTTTAGGTTTGTTTGTTTGTTTTTAGAGCAAAGCCACATTGGGCTATATGCTTTGTCCACCGCGGTGAATCGAACCTCGGGTTTTAGCGCTCTAAGTCCGTAAACTAACCGATGTTCCACATGGGGGACAACAAAATAACGCACTCCAACCATTGTAAATGAAATTATAGTATTTGTTATATTATTTGATAAATTAAAATGTTTTATTTTAATAATTATATATTTTTTGTCCAAAAATCAGGAATCGCAAGTTATTTGTATTCCACTTTTGAATATAGAAAAAATATAAAACATATAAAAAATAACAAAGTCAAACCACCATTTTTTGGGTTTCAGTTCTGTTTGATGAAATCAAAAATTTTCGTTACTCTATTTTAGTATTGTAACTCAATACAAATAACTTTTAGTGGATTATAAGAAAAAAGTTCCAAATACCTAAAATTGGATTTCCTCGTTTAGGGTGACCACCAAAAGCAAACACGTGCGAATGATCTGAAGTCACAACAATTAAAGTATCGTCTGCTCTTGTCATCTCTAATGCCTTGTTTACAGCGTCCTCTAGTGCCAATGTGTCCGTAAGAGCACGATAAGCATTATTAAAGTGATGGGCATGGTCTATTCGGCCACCTGGTGGTAAAACACAGTATTATTTTATTAGACATAACATTTTTATGAACTTTGGTCAGTTTCGTAGCTTCGTGTTTAACAGTTAAATCTTATTATATCATGAATTAGTTTCTGAAAATATATAAAAAAGGGTTAAACTCGCTTCCTACTAACAAAAATTATAAGACGAAAGGTCAACTTTTCTTCTATCGACAGGAAATAGATGGTTTCCATATATTATTGAATTATTTGAACAGATTGAGAACGATGTAAGATAAACGACTGTGGTCAGTGTTACAATTGTGGATAAAACGTCAGGTTTGTCTATGGTGAATGGTGTCATGGTTCGAAGGATGTTCAGGGGTGATCGGCCTCCGTAAACCTAGTGCCAGCATTTCCGTCTTAATGTTTCCATATCCGGTATCTTAGTTTTACAAACAATGTCTTTAAAATATCTCCATCTGAGCTAGTGGGAAACATACTTCAGACATTAGCCTCCTATATGCCGCAACCAGCAACTGTTTACCAGGTGTTGTTCCTATTATATTCAAATAACAAATTGATCCATTAACTTTAGGACAGAGTGTATAAAACATGGGTTAAGTTTACCTTCTACTAATAAGAAGTATCCGTGAGGGTTTCTACGGAGTATTTCAATAGCTTTCTGGGTCATCTGAGCCAAGGAGGGTTCTCCAGTAGGACTGCTGTCTCGGTCAGTTTCATAAGTCATATGAGAGTAGTCAAACAACCCTGCAAGAAAACCAGAATATATCAGTTTAATGGTGGCTTCGCTTCAGTACATAAATAACAATTAACAAAAAATTGAAGATTCCAATGGAGGTTTATATTCATTCATTCATTTTCTGTCATCTCCGTTACAGAGGTTGGCTGCGACTGACTGCCAACACTGTCTGTCTTGAGCCCTTCTTGTGCCCTCTGAGATCTTAAGGTCCATTCATTTTGTTCTTTGTCGTTCTTTTGTTCTCTCTTTTTCCATTTTTCCTTCCAGTATAATTTTCTGTATATTGTTGAGCCTTTTTATATGTCCAAAGTGCACTGTTTTATTTTGCTGTATGGTGTCCATGAGTTATGTTTTTGTATTTTGTTTTCTTAACATCTCTTCATTCGAGTCCTCCGGTGGGCCAGCGGTAAATCTACGGATTTACAACGCTGAAATCCGGGTTTCGATTCCTTGCGGTGAAAGCAGCAGCTAGCCCAATGTGGCTTTGCTCTAAAACCACCAACGAACCAACTCTTCATTTGTCTTCATGTCTGTCATTGATAGTCTTCCAAATCTTCGGAATATCCACATTTCAAACCTTTCAGTTTTTTATCTGTACTTTTACTGATTGTCCAAACATACAAGTGTTGACCATTCAGGATTCTCATTCAGTTGGAGATTTATGTTTTCTTGTTGTCAGAATTTGTTTAATATTGTTAATAAAAAGGCAGTTTTCGCAATAGTTGTTATTCTCATCTCTTCTACTGATCTACTATCTTCTGCAATCAATTATCCAGGATAAGTAAAGCTTTTAATATGTTCTTGTTCCTTTCCGTTTATTATTATTTTAGCCTTGGGTTTTTGTTTCTGCTTGCTGATAACCATAGTTCAGTGCATGTTCCTAACTTCTTTTATTTAATCTTGTTTGTTTTAAATTTCGCGCAAAGCTACACGAGGACTATCTGCGCTAGTCGTCCCTAGTCCCTAATTTAGCAGTGTAAGACTAGAGGGAAGGCAGCTAGTCATCACCACCCACCGCCAACTCTTGGGCTACTCTTTTACCAACGAACAGTGGGACTGACCGTCACATTATAACGCCCCCACGGCTGAAAGGGCGAGCATGTTCGGTGTGGCGGGGATTCGAACCCGCGACCCTCAGATTGCGAGTCCAGCGCCTTAACCACCTGGCCATGCCGGGCCTATTTCTTTAATCTTATCTACAATTTGTTACATTTTTTTCCGGATTTTCATTCAATAGCACTGTGTCATCTGCATATCTTGGATTATCTACATTCATGCCACCTATAGTTAATATTTAATTTAGACTAAAAGGAAGGCAGCTGGTCAACACCGCTAACCAACAACTCTTGCGTTACTATTTTACCAAAGAATAGCGATTTAGTCCTTATTCAGATTTATGTGATATCATTAAGATTAATTTTTTTGTGCTTTCCAGCGCCCCCCTCCCCCCAGTGGCACAACGCTATGTCTGCGGACTTACAACGCTAGAAACCGGGTTTCGATACCCGTGGTGGGCAGAGCACAGGTAGCCCATTGTGTAACTTTGTGCTTAACATCAAACAAACAAACAAGCTTCCACCGAAAACAAGTAGTGAGAATTTTAGCTATAGAACTTTTAGGACTGTTATTGATATGAACGTATCCCATTAATCTAGTCTGTTATAGTTACGTGATAATTTCCTTTATTTCATTCACATTTCTCAACATCGTAACTTTCAAAGAATTAGAAAAGGCTTCATAAGATATCAAATTAGCATCTTTGTCAGGCCTGTACGTAGAATCTTTGAAAGGGGTTTCTTGTTTGTGAGATCAAAAGCCAACACATATTGTGCAAAGCATAATCGGCATGCAAAGCATCCTAATGCGTACGGGGGGGGGGGGGGTCTTGGGGAATCCCCCAGAAAATGTGTAAAAAATAGGTGCTATGAGGTTACATGAAAATTAGTTTTAACAATTTCATGGCTGTTCACGTAAAATCCACAAATATACAAAACGTTATATACCATTAGCAGTTGTGCTATAATTATATAAGCATAATTTTTTACATTACAAAAATAGGGAGTTCTTTAAACTAACTAGATGTAACAAAATTAAAAATGACTTAAAATTATCGAACCCATATCTCTAAACTATCTAGGCCTAGCAAAATAATTAAACACGACTTAACAATATATCGAACTCGTTTCTCTAAACTATCTAGGCTTGGCGAAATAACGAAACTCGGCATTGCAATATTTCGAATCAGTATTTCTAAACTATCTAGGCCTAGCAAAATGATTGAATACGGCTTAACAATATATTGAATCCGTAACGCTAAACTATTTAGGCCTACCAAAATACTCAAACTCGTCATTACAATATATTGAACCAGTACTATTTCTAAACTATCTAGGCCTAGCAAAATAATTAAACACAACTGAACAATATATCGAACCGGTATTTCTAAACTGTCTAGGCCTAGCAAAATAAATAAACATGCTCAACAACATCCCTTTCTCTAAACTATCTAGGTCTAACAAAATAATTAAACACGAAGGGCGACGATAGGTGGGGACTTGCTAGCGCCGATTCTGTACAGTATTAAAATATATTATCCACGTATCTCTAAGCTATCTAGACCTACTAGTTATACCGAAAAATATAATTATACTCGGCACAAAAACATACCAACTATTGTATTTGTAACTTATGCAATTTCTATACGGAAACGACCAACGCCGTCATTCTGATTTTATTATCTGTACATTATTCATTGTTCATACGGAAATTTAGGGCATTGGTACCTGGGACAGTTTTGATGACGTAGTTATCACATGACCAGCTTCTGTATGAATATTCTAGAACGATGGGATATGATTTCGTATCTATAGTCAGTGAGTAATTTTGAGATCACGCAAAGATGTTGTTTTCTCTGTCAAACTGTGAACCGAATATTTTACTAAGAATTGAATTAACCCTTACTTGATCTTTAGAAACAAATCAAATAAACAGAAATTACCTAACAAATAGTCGATCCTCCCAGTATCAACAGCTTCAAAGTCTTCTTTCTTCCACACAAAACGATGGCGAAGTTCTCGTGACTTTTTGTCCCTAAGCCACTCTTCAATCAGGTTCCTTCCGTCCCCACGTCGACCTAAGTTAGCTGGCCTTTCAGGATCTCGCATGTTTTTTGGCAGGAAATGACGACGTCCTCCACCGAGTATTACCTTAAGAACAAGCAGTGCAAGTCTAGTTTGTTCCAAGAAACAATAAGGAATCCTCAATAACCGCGGCACTTGAATTTATTTTAGGCAGGATTAGAGTAAATTAATCTATGAGACCTTTTTTTATAAGCTTTTTTTTTTTGCGCCAGCAATACCAAATGTGGGGCGCGACCAAAGAATAGTGGAAGTGACCGTCACATTATAACGCCCCCACGACTGGAAGGGCGAGCATGTTTGGTGGGACAGGAATTCGAACCCGCGATCCTGAGATTGCTAGTCGAGCGCCTTAACCACTTGGCCATGCTGGGCCTACTAAAGTTCATAACGGATACTATAAGTTCATCCGTTGTTTACATTTCAGATTGAGGCCATTTTTAGCCGCGGCATAGTGGCTCATAGAACGGCCCTAAGTTTTTCAAGTACAAACTTTTAGCTCATAACTCCGTCATCTCTTGACCGATTTGAGATCTATTTACAGTTTTGGACTCAGGAGGTCAAACCCATTCAATTCGTATATTTGACCAAGCCCAAGGTCTCGTAGATTAATTTACGCTAATCCTGCCTAAAAGAATTTCAATTTGAGGGTAAGTTCGTAAAGATCTTGATGAGTAATAAAATTGAATCGAGTACATGTCAACAATAATTATAAATAATAAGTTTGCACTCATCATTGTATTCTAGTTGCCTTGTTGTAGCCGTGCCATGGAAGTGAAAAGAACAAATGTATGAAAAATATTAATAATATTATTATAATATATATATATATGTGTGTATATATTAATATGAGTAATATTAATTACTGAATATGTTTAGCTATGATTAATGATAATGATGGTCTAACACCATAAAAACAGACCGTATTGAATTAAGGTATAGTTTATAATATATATGTATAAGTCATCTCGTTGTTGACAATTCAGGTTTATGAAGACTAAAGTTCGTTGTTTGTTTGGTTTGTTTTGAATTTCACGCAAAGCTACACGAGGGCACTAATTTAGCAGTGTAAGACTAGAAGAAAGGTAGCTAGTCACCAACACCCACCGCCAACTCTTTAGACCGGTGATTGGCTGATCTAACCTTAAAATAACAACTACAGACCTGTGATTGGCGGATCTATCCTCAAAATAACAACTATAACCGGGTAATTGGCTGATCTATCCTCAAAGTAACAACTATAATCCGGTAATTGGCTGATCTATCCTCAAAGTAACAACTACAGCTCGGTGACTGGGTGATTTATCATTGAAGTAACAAGGTAAATATTATAATAAATTATTTTACTTCTTAAAGCTCTAATCCTAGTTGTTACTTTGAGGATAGATCAGCCAATCACAGGTCTGTAGTTGTTATTTTAAGGTTATATCAGCCAATCACCGGTCTATAGTTGTTACTTTGAGGATAGATCAACCAATCACAGGTCTGTAGTGGCTAATTAAAGGTTAGATCAGCCAATCACTAATTTGTTGCTGTTACCACGCATAACATTTCCTCAAACCTGTATGTTTAGTTTTTTATTACTCGAACAGTACAAGATGGCTAATTACTTGCGAAATTCACATATCTCGATTTGAACTATTGCTGCCTTTCACAATTTAAGTAATTGGTCAATATTTCTATCACAGGACACTCAAGTTACGTTCGAAACGTGCAATATTTTAATTTCTATGAATCGCGTTCAATACGTGGTGTTAAGATAATCGATCTTTTCTGTTTTGATTATATATACTTACAGAACTGATAGTCTTCTTCCACTAAGTGTAATAAGATTATTCATAGGTTGGGTTCATCATGTACCAGTTTTCTAAAGTGATGTTATCTTTACACTAAGTATGTAATAAGATTATTCATAGGTTGTGTTCATCATGTACCAGTTTTCTAAAGTGACGTTATGTTTATAACAAGTGCGTATTAAGGTTATTCATAGGTGGCGTTCATCATGTGCCAGTTTTCTAAAGTGACGTTATGTTTATAACAAGTGCGTATTAAGGTTATTCATAGGTGGCGTTTATTATCCATCACCTGTTTTAATTTAACAAATACCAAATGTTGTATCTCAGCCAAACTTATAATGTGTGTAACTGGTCTATATATACTGGCTACTCTCAAACTGATGTTTTCGTCAACTAGATACTTATGAAATATCCTACGTTTATGTGGCGGCCAGGTTCATCTTCTACCAGTTGCCTAGCGATGTCTTTACACGTACTACGGGAACCTTCTGGCATCTTATCATCAGACTCCCAGTATCTGCTGGCGGAGTGGGCATACATGGCCGCAGGAGTGGCGTGAGTTACCCTCGTTGTAGTGACCAGCCCAGTAGCTTTACCTGTAGGGAGATGAATTAAGAAATTTATCAAATTTAGCCTTTCTCGTAATATCATGTGGCACTGAGAGGTTTTCATTTACAAATGTAGTGTTTCTTAGTTTTTATTTCAGCAATGGTTTGTATGTTTCTAGATTTTTCGCGTAAAACCTACATTTTGTCTTTTTTTGGACATAGCCTTACATAATTTTAAACCGAAGGACCAGAGGAAACTCAGGAAAGAAAACTAGTCATCGACAACTGTTTGGGCTCTCTTATCTCACCGAATAGTTGGGGTTGGCCCTCACACCCACAGCCACAAAGTGTGGAATGCGTTTTTAGGCAAGGTGCCGCAAAACAAGGACCCTCGAATTCAGACCCCTTTTATTTATGGCGACGTTATATTGTGATGGTCAACCCCACTATTTGTTATTAAATGGTACTTCAAGAGTTGGCGGTGAATGGGATTGGCTTGCTGCTTTCCCTCTAGTGTTGCTTCCCAGTGGCACAGCGGTATGTCTGCGAACTTACAACGCTAGAAACCGGGTTTCAATACCCGTGGAAGGCAGAGCACAGGTAGCCCATTGTGTAGCTTTGTGCTTAACTTCAAACAAACAAACCCTCTAGTGTTATCATTTTAAAATTAGGGACAGCTAGCTTAGGTAGTCTTCGAGTAGCTTTGTGCTTAACATCAAACAAACAAACCCTCTAGTGTTATCATTTTAAAATTAGAGACAGCTAGCGTAGGTAGTCTTCGAGTAGCTTTGTGCTTAACTTCAAACAAACAAACCCTCTAGTGTTATCATTTTAAAATTAGGGACAGCTAGCGTAGGTAGTCTTCGAGTAGCTTTGTGCTTAACTTCAAACAAACAAACCCTCTAGT